TCAGAGGTTCAGAATCGCTTTTGCCTGTTTCAGCGCAGTGGTTCAAGGTTTTTGTTTTGTAATATGGTTTCATTGAGGCTGAGGATTTGCTCAGGCTGCTTTAAGGGTTGAGGATTGAGTATAGGGGCCGCAAACCTGTAGGGGTCGGCATCCGAAGTAGCTGATAGTTTCTTGAGCGTGTGGCTTTCTCACGGTTGTCGGGTGCATTGAAAGGCTGAAAGATGTGGCTCCAGATACGTATTACACCTTACGGTTATATAGGTATACCCCATGATGAGGGCGCCAGAACCTGCTGTTGCGTACGATTTTGGGCTACAGGCGGTTTTATGTGGATGTTGGAGTTTACTAACTGTCAGCTTGCTTTCGGGACCCGCATTGGTTTCTGGGGAATGCACGCGTCGGCAAGTATGAGATAGAAGAGGACTGGCTTTCAGATTTCAGCTGAGGACCCAGAACCCTTAAATCCCTAAAAGTTGTGAGAGTGTAAATCCCTGGAAGCCCAAGGCCCTATGAATCTGCAGCCCTTATGCCACAAAACCCAACACCCCAAAACCCATTGCGAAGCGCAGTTTCTTCCATTTCATCAACCACCAGTATAGGAGCATATGGGGTCTCTAATGCCCGGCTTCCATGAGATGCAATCGAGTTTAAGGCGTAGGATGACGTATTTAGGGGCTTCTGTCCGAGCCGCAAAGGCTGTGCTACAGCTTTCAGGTCTTGACCTTGAACTTCCTACTCGGTCGACACCCAATTTCGTTGAAAGCTCATACTGGGGAGGTCTCAAGTACCAGAGTGGTAGCTCGAGTCTGTTGGGTTGCATGGCTGGCTTAGGGTTTGGGTTTAGGTTCCTAATCGGCAAGGGCAGCCAACATGTCAGAACCAAAGCAATGCAATTGTGGGAGATAGGCAAGAAGTTTCGATGCAATCCAGACCGAAACTCCACTTTGTTGCCTGCAAGGCTCTGGGAACCATGCGCCATGGGTCACCTTGGCCGCGTGGCGAAAGCTATGCAGGGGCAAACTATGACAGTGGTGCATGGTGGTTGTCCTCATCATCATCAGAATCATGATTCCCATTTAACTAACTAAGAAGTTGTGAAAGAGTTTTTGGGCTGCTGGTGCCTTACCCGAAGCTTTGCCTTGTCTACGGCGTGGTTCTGTTGAACTCCGTTCTAACATGCGTTTTGCGGATTGATCCGGAAGCCTGGAAGTCAGAAAAGCAGAGAACATTGCGGGGTTGGGCGGCTTCGGAAAGCCACATTCGGGAAGCCTAAGGAAGAATTGGTACAAGGTGTTCAGACCCTCGGTACGAATTTCGTAGTGCTTCGCAGTAGCAGCTCCTGGGAAATTTCCACGTGAGGAATTGGGCCATCATGCTGCTGTCATCGGCAGTGCCGCGCTTGAATGTCACGGGACTTCGTCGGCCGTATGACCGAAGCCAGGAAACTGACAGCAGAAGCCGCGTCCGATATCCAGGGTTCCGCCACTTTCGGCTTTCGGAAACACAAGACGGCGCAGGGCTCCGGAAACTTGTCGTAGTACGGCCTTTATCATATCATTTATATATATATATATAGAAGCATACTACGAGATATCCCCCAAACCCAATCTAATCTCGGACAACTAACTTACTGTCCCTGTATTACTGTCAGTCATCCGTGTCTCAATGGTTGTCCAGCTCTCCACCTCAATTCAGGTTTGAGGGCAACTTGGGCTAGGATACCTTATTTGGGTCTTTATATACAACCCTGCACCGTAAATCCTTACAAGGACCTTGCTGTTTAAGGCTTGAGGCTTTGAAGTTCAACTCGTTTCGGTTTAGTCTTCGGGCTTAGGGCCTAGGGTTTGGAGTTTTGAAATTAGGATTCGTGCTTTCGAATCTTCAGCAAACGGCTTTGGATTTGCGGTAAAGGGCGTGCGAGCTTCCCAAAAGCGATCGCAAATCGGAAGCTTTCGAAAGCGCACGCGTGCGAGTTCTCTCGCCTGGGCTTGTAACCTCTTCCAACAGGTGCGCCGGTCCATTTCATTGAGCCCGGCGCTTGTCAGCGCAGCTGCAGACTGTCTTGAGGCCGCTTTCATCACACTAAGCTTGGGTTTAGGATTCCCAGGCTCAGGGTTGAGACTTGAACTTTGGGGTTGTTCCCATCAAATGCGTACTGTACTATACTACTATGCTATACTTTAAACAGGGTATACTATAGTATACTATGCGATACTATACTATACTACACTAGTTATAGTATAGAACAGAGTCGAAGGATGCAACCCAGGCCTTACCCCCGGAACCCTCGAAGCGCAAATCCCGTTTGCCTGGAGGTGGAGGCCAAGTGGCAGGTGGCCGTGTCGCTGCTGCGACTCATTCGCGTTTCTTGGGTCGTTGCTTTCGTCATTTCAGAGCTCAGCTTCCTGGGCCCGAAACCATAAAAGAACACATCAATGCCTAAACATCGCCTTGGAGTGTTCTTGTTGTTCAGATGTTGGTGCGGGCCAGCTGTGTATCATTGCCTGCCCCGCCCAAGTCTGCGAGTTGATGCCGAAACCCCACTGAAGCGTAAACCCGAGAACCTAAACACTGAAACGTTGTAACCTCAGCAGGGATGTGTTTGTGCTCAACTGGAAACCTCGACCGTGTGTGTGTTTTTGATTTCCTCGGTTTGTGGACAATCAAGGTCAGGGACGGAGGGCCTTATGGAACCCTTATGGAAATTGTAAGGCCTTCAGAAAATCCCGGTAAGACCTTTAGGACCACAACAAATTTCCAAACCTCTGACTTGTTCAATGGCATTTGACGGCAGAATCTGAGGGTGTGCTACGGGCTTGAAGGCTACAGGGTGTTGAATGCTGGCACGACATCATGAACAGGGACGCGATTCATGATTCGAGCTGCTCAAACAAGATTTTATTAGGGGCACTGAACCAGGTCTAGTGAAGTGGGTCTTCTTCAAGACCATAAACCACTTACGCCAAAACCTCCCTGCGCTTCGCGGCGAAGCTTAGTGGATAGTTTCGAAATTTGTAGGTTGGAATTGTGGATGCTTGGGGTTTGCAACCGTTCAGGGTGAAGATGTTTTTCAGGACGCAGATGGTGGATGCGGAGATTTGGCCAGATCAAATCTGTTTCAGCGCAGCTGCTTGGAGACACGGAGGAGTCTGCTTTTGGGACGCTGTGAAGTTTAACAGCAGAGCACCGTCCGAAATACATTTGGCAAATGAGCCGCTTAAGCTCGGGCCCTGGCTTTGGGCCTCTTCGTGTTACTTTCCCCCTGCATGAGATTTAGATTTTCTTGCTTCTCGGAGACATGCCAGCATCCGCGAAATGCGTATGCATCCCGGGTACGTCAGGAGCTCCCAACCATACACTAAAGCCCCAACCATTTAGTCCTGGCAGGAGCACTGCCAAAGCCACATTGCACTCAAGGGCTTGCGCTTGGCAAGGCACAAAGGCCCCCCCGCCTTGACAAAACCTTTAACCCAAAACACGCCTGAGCCCTGTCCGACCGAACCCTATCAACATCGCACACCTCAAATCCCAAAGTCGTGAGTCTATGCCAGCAAGTAGGCTATAGGGCCACAGGCATATGTCTACCAAAGTAGATGTGACATACTTCCGGCGTCTTCCGATCATTTCAGAAACCTAAACCCCAGGTTCTTCGTGTTCTCGGTGCGGCTGGACAGTGGCCGTGGGCTTTCTGGCTTCTTGAAGAGATGACCAGGCGGCGAACCAGACAAAACCTGCAGCCTAAACTCCCAGAGAAACCGCCTTCATAAGGCTCAAGATGGAGGTCCTAATATGAAGTGCTTTAAGGAAGGGGGGAAGTTTATTTGGACTGAATGAAAGTGTAACAGTGTTTTGACATGTATAGAACCCTGCAATTTTGAATTCTTTGATTCCTTTGTTATAATTGGAATCCAGCTCTGGAGAACTTTCAGCAAGACTTTACAAAGCCGGCCCAGTTGAAACTGCTTCCCGGATCTCGCGAAACGGAGAAGGGACGTTGAAAACAAAGAACCGCCCCTAAACCCTCGCTTTGCACTCGAATTTCAGACAAATCCCAAGCACGCAGGAGGGACCTACTACTTTGTGCTTGATGTGCCTTGTGCAGGTGTCGCACGGCACCCGACGCGATCACGTGGCTCCTTGGTACTTGCGAAAGGGGGCCTTCATGATTAGAATACGGTTTTCGGGTATAATAAGTATGATATAGAATAATCACAGCGGCACTACAAGGAGGTACAATTGCAAATTAGGTCGCAGGTTTAGGAGTTGGGTTCAGGTGGTCCTTCGTGAGAGGTGCTTAGAGAAGTTGTCCTACTTACTTTTGGTGCTTATGTTGGAAAGCAGTTTTCCCGGAACTGTCATATTTGCTCTGTGGCCTAGAGAGTCCCATTACGCAGTTGCAAAGTCCCCTGCTAAGCCCTCAACTGGAACCGGTCGGGTTCTTGGTGTTTCCATCCACGGCCACTGAAGGAATGCAGCCCTCAGCGTCTGCGAGAAAGGCTACTCGGAGCTGAACAGGGTATCGAAAGTTTGGAGTCAGCTCTTAGGTCAAATTGGGCTTACGCTTTTTCTATCCGCCAGCAATGCCAATGCTGTTGCGCTCAATCCGCTCAGGGTAGCATCTTTAACGGCGTCGACATTCCAAGCCGGAGGTTGTAAAATGAATGTTGCCGTAAAATAAAGCTAAGAAGTGTAATGGACAGAATCTAGCCTGTCTGCAGCTGTTATCTGGTCAGCGGGAGGTGGAGGTTCGTTAATCAGCTGGCTTTCGAGTTAAGGGCCCCGGAACACAACTAAGACTAGTGCGGACCACTGAGCAGCTGCATTTACTGTATGCTGCGATGTACCGGCATAAGGTTGTCAGTATTCAGTTTTGAGGATTTTGCATGACAGGCCGGAGCAATACTTCGAACTATCATGCATCAGACCCTGGCACGTTAAACTCAAACGCTGCACCATATATGTCGTGCTTGGCAATGCCTCACTCCGCCCACACACCTGAGGCTCAGCTTGGCTACAGGCGCTTCAATTGTTGCTCGGAGCGACTCCTCGAATCGGTCGAATACCAGAGCCTCAACAATTCGCTGTTGTCTTTTTTTGGTATTCGTCTTTATGAGAGTATGGCATACGATGCTACTTTGTTTTGCCGGATTTCGTAGAAGCAGCCTCAAAGGGAGTCCATGTGAAGCCACTTCCCCGAATAGTTCCTGCTTAAAGAAACCCTAAACTCTGAAAACCTAAAGCTCTACAGCCCAAAGCCTCTCTGATCTCAACTCTGCAGTGCGGGCTCGTCCTAGCTTGGTTGGAGGCGAAAATAGCTCCTACTAGTTCCTGTTTCAAGCATCCCCAAACTTTTAAAATGCCCTAAAAACCCAAAGTGAGTGTCAAAAGAAACGCTAAAGCCCCAAAAACTCTCAACTTTAGAAGCCTCTCAAGAGGAGCCCAAGTCCGAGGCTCCGAAGCGCTGGATCCGCGAGCTTCCGACCGGGTGCGGTGGGCCGGGGGGCTCGGTTGATTTCCATGCAGCTATGTAGCTCGACCGGTCTTCAAAAAGCAAGTGGTGAGGCTTTGGTGGATGTTTGTTTGTTGTTGTTGCTAGATCTTCGCTCAAAGTACGTAGGTAACTGCGAGCTTTCTGTTTTATAAGAGTTTTGATGGTTTGGGGCTTTGGGGTTTTGAAATTTGTAGGTTCGGGCCGTGGGCTTGGGGTTGAGAGTAGCCGGTGTTCAGGGTCCAGAGGGGTCCAAATGTAGACAGATAGGCAGGTAGAACAATACGGAAGTTCTGATCTCACACGTACAGGTTGGATACATAAGCAAGCAGCTACCCAACGAAACATGTAAATGGAGGAACCGACAAACTGTGCCGATGCATGCATAGTATTTCATTACATCTACACAGACGTCAATTCCCGGGGTTCATTTTCAGAGTCTAAGTTTAGACTATTTGGATCTGCCGTCATGGGGTCAGTACATGCGGAATCTCTTCGGCTGAGGGATTGCCATGGTCTCCCAATGTACCCCCTGTTTAATGATTTTTAGTCTCAAGCCGTGGGCATGCAGGATACTGTACTGAGGCTTTGGAGTTTGGTTGAGCATGAAGGGCCCCAAGGTTCAAGGTTTGTAGTATTGAGTATTTGGGTGGGTAGCCTTATTCCCTTCCATACAATAGCTCACCTGAACATTTAGTGGTTGAGGTGCTAAGATGTAACTGCCATGATTGTCAGAAGTCAGCGTTGCAATTGAGAGTGACACCGTGGCATTGTTCAGACTGTCCTCATAGTTCTGTACAGGTGCCTCCGTCCACTCCTTCTCAGAAAGACTTGATTAAGGTGATGGAGCCAAGTGTGGACACTGACTAGTAGGATGTAGGATCGTTATTCTAGGGCAGTTAAAACAGATACGCCTAGCTTTCAACAACGCAATAAAAAGGCTTGACGAAGCCCTTACAGATTCTTAGCAGCCTTTTTAATTAAGCTTCAAGCTCTATGCCGTATCAACCTCCCGGGGGGTCCAGGCTTCACCTCTGCCATTGGCGCTTGCAGCAAGGCCGAGCAGTGGGAGAGTGCATTGGACACGCGTCTTGGATTGCCCTGGCTTTTGGCGAATACCCATAGGCCCCATAGTAGTTCCTTTTTGGGATTCCCGAATAGGATCCTAAATCTAATTAAGCCGCAAAAAGGAACTACTATGGGGCCTATGGGTAAGGACTGCTGCTTGGCTCTGGGAGCTGGGGTTTGGAGCCTGGCTGAAGGAATGTACGGCTTGGTGCGTTGCGGTCTTCATGGGCGCAGAATTAGCGCAAGTCGGGGCTCAATGCTCCCGCGACTCTTCCGATCCTGACTAGGCATCGCTACTATCCCTGAGCTGAAAGGGGCCCCAAGTCAGAACAGCGGTGGACACCCCCTGCAAAGTCTTTCCTACAATCCTGTGTGCTCGAAACCCAAAGCCCTGGGGTCCTCGAAAGTCAGGAGGACAAAGACGAAGAAAGGCTTGGAGCCGAAAGTCTGGACTATGTACCCCCCCAAAGTCCAGTCAAACCCCATCCAAGACTCCCTAATGTGTTGGATCTGAAAGACGGTCCTAGGCTATCGACGCTCTTTTGCAGTGGCGGTGGCGATCGACCAGCGTTGAACGCGGCCATGTCCGGGCACTGGGCCAAGGCTGGCAAGGGTGTACGGCCTAAGGAAAAATACCCATCTTATCTACTCCTTAAGATTCTTGAACATAATGCCTACTATAGTTACTACAGCATTTTAGTTTTTGTTTCTGAAGGCTTCCTGTGCAGTTCTGCAAGGTTCTGTAAGGGTTCTGGGAGTTCAGGGCTTCCGGGCTTGGGATCGAGGGTCATGCTTCAAAGGATCTTCTGTCAGTACTCGTAGCGCCAGGGCCGTACTGGCTTTTCAGGGTTTCGGGTTGAGGACCTCAGAATCAAACATCCGAGCATCATTCAGTTTCTCCGGGGAAGTCCTTTCATGCAGGGCGTTTGGGTTGAGGGTCTTGCGGGTGCAAGTGCCCGGCCCTTGCTCTACTGATACACAGCCGTTGAAAATTGCATCGGGGGCAGACTGCCCTAAACCCTAAACCCTATGGCCCTATGTGTTCCAGCATTTCAGCACCACGCATTTGCCCAAGACCTGTTTGAGCCCCAATCTCCTGGAAACGAAACCGAAACTTTTCAGGAATGGTTTAGGGTTTAGGGTTTAGGGTTCAGGAATCTTCAACACTTCTGCGGCTGAGGCTTGCCTCCTGCTCTCTCCCTCTGAACTGCTGGCGCCCAATGAGGTGGCTTACGTCGTGGGGCATGAGTGACTCCAGCATTGCACGTTCGCTGGTTTGGAATGGCCGTAATGGTGCAAAGCTAACCTGAATGGGGTGCAAGTGTATCTGAAAGACCTGAGGACGAGTGCATTCTATTCAGACCCGGGTTTAGCTGCCAGAAGTTGCGCCTACGTTCGACAGAGATATAATCGCAGCACCGGTCGGCACATGGAAGATTCGCAATGTCGGCGTCGCGGGGTGCAAACGTGTATAACAAGACGCATCAGGAAGCAACGGCAGCGAGAAAGAGAGAGAGAGGATCAGGTAGGAGCCTTAGGGGCTACCAGCGCTATCTCTAGCCAACCGTCAGAAGTGTTGGACTCAAAATCAAAGCCCTGAGTGGTACCCTGCAAATGTCAACCTGGAGTACTATACAGAGCCAGAACCTCCGACGCCTGATGTCGGATTTGTGGTTCCTTTTGATCATTAACCATTTAGAGTACATCACCGCTGAAAAATCAAGCCTTCAGTTTCAGCCCTAGACCGGAAGCCCTCAAAAGCTATAACTTGCCGAATTCAGAGACACTCGCAGAAGCTCAAGGAGGTGCCAGGGCGATCTGGAACCTGAGTCTTTCCTCTCGAGGCTTTAGGCCCTAGGCTTCCTTGAAAATGGTGTTTCTCGATAGAGGACGCGAGACCAGACAGGTTCTGACTCCCGTCGAAAGGCTAAAAAGCGCCTTACGCCTTACACGCTACAGCCAACGAAGATGAGGTGTCCTTCGGTGCCGCATTGCGGTCTTTGGATACATGGCCTCGAGCAACAGCTCTGCTGCAGGCACGTTCCATCTATAGCGGTTCTGCTTCTGAGAGGTTGCACAAGGACTAAGAACACTGCAGAGATCGTAAATCATTTGTAGTGCTTTTGCCTTACAGGCCCGTTGTATTTAAAGTGCAATGGACCGAAAACCCCAAACTATACTAATTCTTAAGGCCCCTAACATCGGAACTCCGCCAAGCACGACGGAGATCGAAGTTTCTGAACCTCCGGCCCATGTTTCCAGGGGGTGGCCCCCAATGGCTTCGAAGCCCGGGGTTTCGCATGGGGGCTTCAGGTTTAGAAGTCTTTTGGGTTTTGAGTGACTTTAGCGTGTATAAGACTTTCAGTCTTGAGGGTTTTGGGCTTGACCAGTGCAAGTGTGACTAAGCCCATCCAGAAGGCCGACACCTGAACCCTGAACCTTCCAGTTTTGAGGTTCACTCTTGGCTGTGAGATCGTACGTTCTAACCCCCCCCCCCCCGCCCAATCCATCAACCCGAACATTCCGAGTCCTGGGGCTCCTAGCTCGGTCTTTGGGATTAAAAGCTCCGTTGCAGGTAATGCCCTCCAGGCGCTGCTTTATGAATGAGCCGCTCGTCACGACAAAAGCTGGGCAGGGAGAGAGCTTGAATCGATATGGAGTCATTGGCAACATTCTTTCCCCCGTCGTGCTTAGGAGCAGGCAACACAAGGGAACGAGATGAAGCAATCGTCGTGAAATCCTGAAGCTCCAGGAGAGCTAGCATCCCAAGTTGCAAAACCCGTATATAAACCCTAAAGCCCTCAACGCTAAAAACCGATCTCGCTCTACGGCCCTAAACCCTGAATCCCTAAAGCCCTACATAAGTCTCGCCAGATCTCAGGATTTGCTTTGGCTCGGCGATCTCTGCTTGCGAAGACTCAAGGGGATGGGCCACCGGCATCCAGCTGCCCCCGGGATTTTCAACTTTGAGAGGGTTTACAATTGCGTACAAACTACAAGTATAAACCCTAGACCCCTAAACCCTTATAAGTAAGAGTTTTGCAAGGGTTTTCTATTCACAGGTTTAGTCTTTTGAAGAACTGTGTTCTACGGTTCTAAACCGTTTACGGTTAATGCTGGGCGTTGGGAGCGTTGTGTTCCTTAAATTAGGTCGACAGCAGCGGAATGCTCCGTAGTACTAGTCGCTGGGCTCCTTTATACAATTGCACTATACTGTAATCCAAAACATTTGAACACAATTTGCGGTTTAGGGGTCCATGGTGCTAGAACCCTGGTTAGTGGGGTTTTGGATATTTTTTGTGAACATAATAAAACCAGTGAAGGCTGCAGATCTTTAGGGCTAAATGTCGCTGTTTGGGTTTGATGTTAAAGCCCGAATCATTAATGTCCCTATATTGGTGCACATAAAATGTCCTTAGGACATATCGGTTGTGATATACAAGACTCCGGATACCGGTTACAGGAAGAATTGTAACATCATATGTAGCAATATTGGTTTCATTGCTTTCCCTTGCCGACACTTCCGAATCTGAGGAGCGTCGAAATTGAGTCAACTGGGCTCAGACCCAACTGCCCAAATCACTGGCAGCAATGGCCTACATACACTCCATGTGGGGGTCCGAAGACAAGCATCGTAGGCGGATGTGCTTGAAAGCCCTCTCTGGCCGTAGCCTGAATGGAATCACCGCCGTCCTATCTACCCTTCAATCACAATTTATAGCGGAATGTAACTTCATGCTATGAGTGATCCCTTTAAAGTCTCGATGAAGGGACACTAGCCATTACACTAACGACAGCACTCGCAACTCCCCACGTGTGGAGCTCAGGATCGAAGCAATGCCGGTGAGGAAATTGGTTGCAAACGCCTTGGCCTCGGCCAGAACTTGTTTCAGAGCTTGGGAACTCAAGCTGGATGGTTTGGCCCGCCATCGCGCGGGCTTCTTTCGGAGTTGCTTGAATGTTTCCAGTTCGCCTTCTGGTCTGCAGGAGAGGTTACCCACTTGGGCGACAACAAACAGATCGAAATCCCGGACATCTGACGTTCGTTGTTGTATCGTGTCTCTACCACAGCAGCCACGTGAAGTGCCATCTTCCTCTGGAGCGAGCCGCACACGAACGATCGCTGCCAAACAGAAAAAGCCTACCACCTCCCCGTATCCTTCGAGTAAGGTTTCGCGCATTCCGGTCTAATGTGTGGCCCATGCACCCCACCCATGCTTTTTGATGCCACAGCTTTTGGGCCTGAGGTCTCAAGGTTTGGGGTTAAGGGCCAGGGGTTGGGACCCGGAATCTGGGGACCCGGTAGTTCCAGCACCTTTATCGTTCATCGTTCTTGTTGTCCGGAACCCGTCTGTCATTGATGTGTAGGAGATGGCAACGGTCATAAGGGTATTGTCTTGTATCATGAGAACGATGGTACTGTTAAGAAACAGAATCATGCTTCTACTCTGCTACAAAACCTTGTTTGCTGAGGAGGTTTGCTTCAATGCAGCGATCGGAGCTTGCGGTGGCGCAGGGGAGATCGAGCTGCTCGGCACTCTTCAGGAGGGGGTTTTTCAACAAGTTCTGCATATTATAGGGGCCAAACATATTGCAAATACCATGTTGAGGGCTCCTTATTAAAGCAGCCGGCTTTGCTTGCATCCCTGAACAGTACACTTGAGGTGAAACGCAGCACACCGTTGGTTTCAATTTCTGTGTGTTCATGGGTAGAGCTTGAAACCTTCGTCACGGAAATGTATGCAAAGCTCCGTCAATCAAAAACGCCCGCGAAAGTGATCTTCAGCATTCTGGCAAAACATGGACGCCTTTCGTCCGTACCTGTTCCTCCAAGATTGCTTTGCCCTGCAATATGTGCTTGGAAAATCCGGGTGCCTTTGGCCAACGTGCCAATCCCAAACAACACCAAACTAAACTTCTTGCGACCTGGCTCATCTTGCAAGAGCAAACGTACCTTACTGTAGGGCTCCAAGTATACATATAGTACCTGCGTTGAGGTCTACAGTCTATAATTACAAGTGGTTCCCACGTTGGACGGGCTATATAGAGCACCAGGGAAATGGCGTGTTGCAGTTTCTCATCTAAGGGCTGCTATGGGCCTCCTCGATGCCCTCCGCCATCGGCGTTGCGCAGGGCCCACAAGCCTTCCGCCACAGAACGGATTTGAGGGCGAAGATTTTCCATTTAAGGTGTAGAGATTGACAGTAGTTAAGCCCCAGGTTTCCTTAAGCCCTGTGGATCTAAAGAGTTTCGGATGTCGGACTTCAGTAGCTCCTCACCGTTGAATGATGCTCGGAAGGCCGACTTCATGATGTCTTGACTGCTCTGCATTGTAGCACTAATACCTTTTACAGGGGAGCTGCTTGTCTGAGTCCTTTGGGTGTTCGAGTCTCTCGACATCCATGTCCTTGCTCGAACACCGCTAGGAAGATTTCCGGTGAACCTGCAGGAGGCAAACGTCAGAAGCCTGCATGTCCAAGAACCATCTACTTTGGGTTGATAGGCTGTCCCCGTCTCTACAGTCTGGCAGACGAGAAAAGTAGGGGATTGCTTGGCATGGGGCTACCGAGGATGCAGGTTCACCATTCCAACTCTGCAAGGAAAGATCTAGGGCCCCAGGCTTGGCTGGCCCATGAAGAAGTACCCTTGCACACAGACTAGCATATACTTCAGCATCCTAGGCTTGGTATCCAAAGGTTCCTACGAGATACCAAACAATAAACACTTTTAGTGGTATTCCGCTCGTATTGGAGTCATAAGTCGTTGAGGCTTTGCAACTGCCATCACTGCCTGCGCTCGACGAGGGCAGTGGCAAAGAGGTTCGTGGTAGGTGAAGATTTGAGAGGTCAAGATGAACTACCCGCTTTCCGACAACAGACATTCAGAGCGGAGTGATTGGGTACATCGACCCTCCAGTGTGAGAGGTTGGAATATGCAATATAGGGCTTAGGGCAAAACGGGACTTAGGGCTTCTAGTTGAGAGTGCAGAGGCGGCAATTCCCACGGTCGTTTCGAAAGACGGTGGTTTGGCAGGGAGGCTATGTGAGTCACAGCGGCGGGAGTTTGGATTCTGGGCCTGGCCGGGGCTGGGATCTTGACTGTGAGAGAATACACCATGCGCATCAACATAGGCAATCTAGCAACTGGCAAAAACATTCATCTTATTCCCTGTTGGCTTGTGCGGCTGTGCGGCCTTGGAACAACATATTCGCAAGAACACTGCGAACACATGCTGAATACGTACGGAGCACGCGTCTTCCTTCTTTTATTCTCGAGAGGCTTCCTGCTCCTTGCAGAGATGGCCAAAGACAAGATCCAGCCAGACGAGACCCCACCGCACGTGGGAGAATTGTTTCAGGGCTTGAACGTCTATCCCATCGTCCTGCATCGAAGCTTAAAGCCCCTTGTCCAATTACACTTGATCAACAACATACCTGCCCGACCAACTCTGCAGCTGTGTCGGCTGGGCGGGTGGAAGCTCTGCAGTGACACCGCAAATGCATGCCCTGTTTTCGGTTAGGCTACAGAGCCCATGCACAAATATGCTTTTGTCGATCTAACCCTCGAAACTTTCGACATGCTGGTCTAGTGTCGCCACGGGCTTAAGCCCTACTTTTGAGTTCTTCTGGTTTCTGATTCACAGTCGAAGAGGCCAGGTACTCATGTAAGAGGTGGTTGGGCTATGGCCACTACGGCTACTAAGAGGTTCACATACGGTAGAACCAATATCCCACTATATCTAACCTCCTAGACCTCCACCCTATACCCTGAACCCTAACCAGCAGTGGCCTTTGAGATGACTTGAGGAGTTCTGCTACGGTGCCACCATGGCCGCTTGTGAACGCAGCCACCAATGGCAGTGCTTTGGCGCACCCAGGGCATGGGCCTGTTCTGATTGCTGTTTTATAGGTAGACATGAAAGTGCCACTGTGGTGTAGATGACGCTCTTATGGCTGCCTGTGATGTATATGACGGTCTTATGGCTGCCCTAACGATCTGCCTTTTCAGAGGCTGCTCGAGCACCGGTTCATCTTAGACCCTGGGCCGTTTGGGTCAGGCCCCGAAGCACTAGACCCAGTACACAACATAGGCCTTATATGTCCTGACAAGAACATGTGGAACCACCCAAGGCTCGAAAAGCTTATTCTCCTACCGTAGAACAGAGTCTAGCAGCATTCATTTTTTGGATTCGGGCCTTTAGCTGTTGGGGCTGCTTGTCTCCATGTGCAAATTTTGGGGTGGTTCCTGAAAGGTCCTGACTAAGGGGCCGAGTGTGATTCGATATGCCTGTCCTTGTGGCTACGAAGCTGGTATTTGTTTGTGTCTTGTTGATGCGCATGTTGCATCATTCCATTCTCCGAAATCCTAGCATAAGAAGCTGCCCAAGTATACCTGCTTTGCACCTGCAGCCAACAATCACTTGCAGATGCAAGGTGGGCTGTACAGCTGCTGGCTACCATGGAAGATGCCAAGGCGCGTCGATTTGTTCTAGTTGTTCTGAACGCAAAATTAGAGGTCGTTCGTTCGTGGAAAAGCCCAGTCAAGGAGGCTCCCCCCTGTTTTCACTCCGACTACGCCTGAGACCTCGCCTGGATTGCCCGAGTTATGATAGTGTAAACTCGTTCCTCAGTCGGCCTAAATCTAAATCTAAGTTTCAGCTACGGGCGTAGCTTGATTCGCCTCCCGAGCCTTCTAGCTAGCTGGATTCAGCGATGTGGACAAGAGCCCAACGAGATATTGCTGCACAATGAGAAATGCTGCCGAAGAGAAACTAAGATAAAGGGGCCTTAAGCCCTAAACCCTACACGCTGCTATGCTGGGAGGCAAAAACCGGAGCCCTAGACGGTGTGCATAGCGGGCATGCGTCTAGTTGGCGACTTCATCGCTCCATGTTTTCTGTTTGTAGCCTATGAGGCTGGTTGGTTAGAGGGCCGGGTTGCCTCCGGACGAACTCCAAAGCTGTCTTGAGCGCCCGCTGTGCGACCTCGTCAGCTAAGCGGGTGGGAGAAAGCCTAAGCCCTGCTCTCCAGACTCTGACAAACAAATCGCATTCCTTTAAAGTCCTACAGAAAGTCCGGGACAGTAGCGTAAGTATTTTGGGCTCTGCATACTTAATACCGGCTATCGTACTCAGCTTAAGTCCTGCATGGTATAGTGTACCCCAAAACTCTAGTCTACTGGCTACTGGTGTATGTATTGTATAAATTCCCATACTACCTATTGCAAGTCTGAATCCAAGGGACGGCCACGGTACGGTTGAGAGGATCTCCATCAAGCACTATAGGCTTCCAGGGCTGGAATACTGGAGCTTCGCTTCAAGGTTTAGGGTTTAGGGATTTTAGGGTGGTTCAATCAGTCTCCAGTCCCGACCGTTTTGGATTCAGCTTCTGTTCAGTGCTTGGGTTAGGTTCTGGGATTGGAGGTATGGTTTGTCGTGCTGCCAATCCTTCCTTCTTGGTGCGTGCTTTATGTCAACAGCTTCAATGCGAAAGCTGCAGAGTCCGACAAGGACATGAAGCATTCAAGAACTTCCACAAACCACTTCAGGGCAAGGCGCCCTGACCCTAGCACATAAGCCTTTCTTCCAAGCAGGGTCCGCGATACTTGGATTCTCTATTCGAGATCCTCTTCCTCGGAAACTCCTGACAACATTATTTCATCAGGCCCGAATCCAAATGACGACAAAGAAGCTTCAAACTTCGACCGGCAAAGGTCCCCGCGTCCCAGATTTGCTTCAACTCTGCGATCAGCGCTTGCGAGTGCTTTGCCTCAGACAGGTCTATGGATAGACAGGTCTATGGATGGCGCAGGTTGAGGGGCTCACAAACACCGGGGCCTTCACTCTGGACCCTACTGTAGATTAAGAAGGATGGGTTTTGATCAGGAGGAGCTGCAAACAAGACGTCGTTGTCAGAAATTTAAGAGCCTCCGGCTCAGGC